ATGTATATGTATATTTACATGTATATGTATATGTATATGTATATGTATATGTATATGCATATGTATATGTATACGTACATGTATATATATATATATATATATATACACGAACCGCTATTTTTCACATTAGTAACATGGGCGGGCAAGCGTAGCGGCGCGTGGCAGATTGATGTGGCACGCAAACATGCACACGCGCGCGCACGCACGCACGCATGCACGCACGCACGCACGAACGCACGAACGCCCACACGCATGAACGCACGCATGAACGCATGAACGTGAATGTACACACGCACCCATTCTCTCTCTTCTCTTTCTCTTTCTCTTGTTCTCCTTTCTTACTCTCCTTCTATACCTCTATCTACCTCTATCTCTCTCCCTGTGTGTGTGTGTGTGTGTGTGTGTGTGTGTGTGTGTGTGTGTGTGTGTGTGTGTGCGCGCGCGTGTGTGTGCCTGTGAATGCGTGCGTGCGTGTGTGTGTGTGTATCGTTCTCTTTCGGTAAAAGTGGTAATACCATAATGGCATTGATTATCCACGCACTCGCACACACCCACACGCACGAAGGAACACACACGCACGCACACTCACACGCACGAAGGAACGCGCACATACGCGCACACCCACACGCACGAAGGAACACACACGCACGCACACGCACGAAGGAACGCGCACATACGCGCGCACACCCACACGCACGAAGGTACACACACATACGCGCACACCCACACGCACGAAGGAACACACACTCACGCACACGCACGAAGGAACGCGCACATACGCGCGCACACCCACACGCACGAAGGAACACACACATACGCGCACACCCACACGCACGAAGGAACACACACATACGCGCACACACACACACACGCATGAAGGAACACACACGCATGAAGGAACACACACGTACACACCCACACGCACGAAGGAACGCGCATATACGCTCGCACCCACACGCACGAAGAAACACACACGCGCGCACACGCACACACGCTCACAGGCACACGCCCGCGGGAACACGCACGCGCGCGTATATGCACATCGGTTATGAGTGTCGTCGTTGGAGGGGAGTGGGCAGGCAGGCATGTGCTTATCATTGATCCTCGTTCGACATTATTTCCCCGTCACTCGCAAATCTGGCTTTCCGACGGTGCCATAACCTGCAAAGTTTGCTGCATTTATCGCCGCGGCGCGCCACGAATTCAACGCCGGCCGACTTACCGCACAGTTCAGCTTAACGTTACCATGGTAACGGCGGCCGCGTCACGTTCTAATTTAGCGATTCGTCAAAATTACGGGGTAGCGGATGGCTATATTAGGGCAGCGAACCTGTGGTTATTAATCGCAAACAAATTGCGTTTTAGGTAAATGTCTGTCTACCTGTCCGCTAGTCTGGTTACGGTGAATAGAAGAGAACTGCTAGGGGCCAGCCTATCATTACCGAGCTCTAATTCATCGCTCGGCGTATCTCGTTTGCCAACGGTCGCTCCTCGCCTACTTCAAACAACCCTGTAAGAGTAGCGAGATCAGGCACGACCAATGTCTCAGCGTCCACACCGATGTTTTATTTCAATATTGGACATAATTAAGACACCATGGATTCATAACGGATTCATAAGACACCATGGATTCATAATGGATTCATAAGACACCATGGATTCATAATGGATTCATAAGACACCATGGATTCATAATGGATTCATAAGTAGACACCATGGCATTCATAATTGATTTATAAGACACCACATCTCCGATCTGTCGAACGTTTAGTGTGTGTAGTTGTTTTAGAACGATTGCGTGTTTATGCAGGCGAGCTCATCGACCCCCTTTATTAACTCAATTCGCAGAATTCTATTTTTAAGTAATATGTGCATTCAACGTTATTCTCTTCTGTTGTATTAGCAGAAAGATACAAAGCCGCTTAACAGTTTTGTTTAATACCCAAACCGAATAACGTTACGCTATCGTCGCATTAAAACCTTAAAGTTCTTCGACATTGGACAAAGATGATTAAAATGTTAATATTCGTTTGCGAATCTCTCCCGCCAGTTGAAATAGCTATTATGCGAAATTGCACTGCATTATTATTTTCTATATTTCAGCTGCTGCGTATTAAGGGAGTCTAAGATATATGTGGATAATTACAGCGCCTTCTCTTGGACTTGTATCAATAGTGGTATCGTAAGATGGTCACCCGTTATCGCTGACGTCACAACACAGAGGTCGACGTCATCGTGACGTCACCACACCTGTGTATAGCGTCGACGCCATCGTGATCGTCACGCCCACGCCTGTTATAAGCAATGACGTCATCGCGACGTCATCCACATGGTGTCGTAATTGCGTTATTACGGCGCTCGAGATTCCACTTGAGGTTTAACGAGATGCTTGAGATGAGAATTCGATCGCCTTATCGACATTCCCCGCCCAAAATAATTGTAGCCAAACAAACATTCATACAAGCATCTGTATATTCGATCGGCCATAGTCGCAGGTACACACTGGCCCCCTGCCTATATATATTAATTATATATATATATAATATTATATTATATATATATATATATATATATAATATTTCGTGCTTTTGTGAAAGTTTTGCACGCAATCAATATCACTTGTGCGCAGTCCGTCCGTCAAGCACCGTTTTGGAATATAGACGGACACGAGACATATTCTCTTCACTCCGTTCGCCTCTCTCATGAAACTCTCGATATAAACAACATTTTACGCGCCGAAAAATTCACGCAGAACAC